TCAACTTAGATTTTTAAGGAATTATCTTTGATATTAAATAATAATACATTAGTTAAAGAATAAAAAACTATACTACCTTGTATTACATGAGGTTCCCTAGCTTATTGTCTGGTTGGACTTTGTTAATTTGGTGATTGCAAATTTTAGATTGATTTTTTCAGGCTTTCTCCTCCTTTTCTGACATAAATTACCACTATTGCAGGGACTTCTCCCGCATTGTTCTTGTCCACTACCTGGAATTAACAGTTAGAGTTTATGATTTATCCTATCACTTCTTCTTTTTTTTCCCTTTCCTGTCAGCCATCTTCTGAAATGAACTTTTAAATTTTATTTTATACACTTTGCTTTTTACTTCCTAAGAAAATCATTTGGCTGATGCAGTTTACAACCCAGATTAAACTGAAAATTTTTTGTTATATTAGGTCAATTTAAAGAGCACAGTCTTGAACTGATTAATAGAACTGGCACAGCCAAATGCTATCTTGAAACATGGATGTACTGCATAATTTGCTTATTCTTTTACGTTATGAACTGGTAAACTACAAGTTTATGCATTGATTGTATTCATTTTCCCTTTGTTTTTCCTTTAAGGTTGCGAGATTTTTGCAATGGAAGACATAATTTTAATTGGCATATATTTTTCTTATGGGAATTGACGTTGATATATCACATCATTCTTTTAACTTTTCATTTGATATGTCATGTCATTCTTTGATAGGACTATGCCAATATATGGTTAGAGATATACTACCAGGCAGTTAATGTTGGGGCTAACTCTATACTATCCTTAGCTTAATAGGGTCTTACTCCTGGATTCCAACAAAGCATATCTTTACTCCCTTTTCCTTGGTCCTGGCTTTGCGTCTTTCAATTCTTCAATCATGTTCTTTTTCTGTCTCCATCATTTATTTTTCTTTACTCTTTTCAGTGTCCTCATTCTGAACCATCCCAGTGCTTGAAGTTGAGTTGTCCTTTAAGAGAATAGTTGTTTTCATAGGGGTGATAAAAGGTGTTCCAATTTGTCAAGTGCCTGATTTATGCTATATTTTTCCTCCCACTCTCTCGTTTCAGTACTTCATTTTTTTTTTTCTTTCTGATTCAACCTTATTCTTTCACAACAAAGCCTACCGATGACTTATCTTATATCTAAAACCTTCAATGTCTTCGCTGCAACAATTCACAAAGGCAAGTTATAGTACAGATGTTCAGATATGTTTCTGGATAATGAACTGGATGTTCACATGGTAAAATTGGATCAAATTGATTTTGTAATTGTCTGGCTGTAAAAAAAAAAAAGGGAAACATTTTGTTATCTATACTCTTGTCAATAAGGTGCCTGAACAGTTTCATTATAGAGCCCTTATTTAATATTCTTTTTCTGAATTTATATTAGCGAAGAATGGAAGATTTATGTCTTGTTAAAAAGACTGAAGGAGAAATTCCTCATTCCCAGGTAACTGAAAAGATTATGCCCAATTCTGAGATTGACGGTTCTTCGTCTTCTGGTTCTCGTCCAAATAATTGCCTAGAACCTTCAGAAAATACAGATAGGTATCTGGATGGTGCACAGCCATTGGAACGTCAAAATGCTCAGCCAGGTGAACTTTTTTTTGGCTTCAATATGTCTAGGTTTGCAGTACATCATAAATTGCTAATCTATTCAATTTAGAAAAAGTTAGATAGTTTCTGGATGATAAATGCATTAATGTCTTTAGTATTCTACTGAACAGATAGTTTTCATGAAAAATTTTCAGCCATTCCTGGAATAGATTCGAACCCCACTCAATCAGACAAGGAGAACAGTGATAATGATGCTGAATCAACAGTTGACTGGTTGAATTACCTTAATCTTGCATCATCGGAAGATGATTCTGAAACTTGTCATCCTTGTAGTGAATCCATGGTGGATAGATCATTGTCTTTCTCCTCACATCCTGATGCCGTAGATAAGTTTCTCAGTGACAGCGTTGTTAAGGAGCATTCACAGATTTGTGCAGAATTAAAGGTACTGACAGAGTAACATTGCTAAAATTTTGATGAATCAAATTGCACTACATTTTTAGCATTTTGCTTCTAGTTCAGAATTTAGTTGTATGTTGCAGTTTTGTTAATTTTAATCCCATTTTTTACCAAAAATGAAAAAAAAAAAAAAAAAACATCTAGTTTAGAATTTAGATGTTCCTTTCAGTCTTCATCTTCTACTTTTCTTTACCAGTATCCTCATCCCCAACCATCCGAGTGGTTGCTGTTGAGTTGTACTTTAAAATGAACAGTTGTTTCCATAGTGTGATAGAAATGTTGCCATTTGTCATGTGCCAGATTTATGCTATGTTTTTCCTCCCGTTCCACTATCGTGATGGCTTTTTTCTGAAGGAAAGTAACCTTACACTTTCATATCACGGCATTGTGAGGACTTGTTAAAAAATTATATCTAAAGCCTTCAATGTCTACTGTCACAGAAGCAAGTTGTATTACAGATGTTAAGATAAGTTTCTGGACGCTGGACTGGACGTACACATTAGTAAAATCAGATGGGATCCAATACTTCTCGTAATCTTTACTCTTGTCAATAAGATGATGAACAATTTCATCATAGAGCCCTTTTTTCTTATATTCTTTTTGTGAAATTATATCAGGGAAAAAGTGAAGATATTGATCGTGTTAAAGAGGCTCAAGTGGCATGTCCATATTCCCAAGGCCAAGAGAGTGAAGAAATTATGTCCAATTCTAAAATTGATAGTTCCAGGTGTCCTGGTTCTCATCCAAATCATTGCCAAGTGCTTTCAGTTTCAGAATATACAAATACACCATTGCTTTCGGATGGTGCAGAGGCATTGGAACGTGGAAATGCTCAATCAGGTGAACCTTGTTTAGCTTCAATATGTCTATTCTGTGACATCAT